TTACTCATCCTCTTCCTTCTCCTGTGTGTTTCTGTCTCTATCTCTGTCTCCATCTCTCTGTGTCTCTGTCTCTCCCTGTGTCTCTGTCTCTCTGTCTGTCTCTCTCTGCAGCTGTCTCTGTCTTTCTCTCCTTCCTGGCTGTCATGAGACAAGAACTCCCCTAAGCACTATTGTGATACTTGTCCCCCCCAAAGACCCCCCAAAGCCAGCTGACCACTCACTGTTACCTCTGAGAATAAACCAAAACAGATCTTTCCTCCTTCTAAAGTATTTCTTTCAGAGAGGTTCCTCAATGATGAAAAACTAACACAATGGCGGTGGCAGAGAGCATAACACAACAGCAGTAATAATAACAAGTACAACCTTCTGCTCTTTGACTGTTATTCTATGCCAGACCTAGCGGTGAGTGCTTTGTATCCAATGATTCAGCTCTACAGACAAAATTTCCTTCATTTTTTGCTACTGAAAAAAATTGAAGCACACAATGATTATCTTGCCCAGGTTCTCAGAGACAGCAGTGTAGACAGCTGGACTCAAGAACATAGGGTATTAGCTGCCATAGGGTGGGGCACTTACTATAATCAGGTAACTGCCATCCTCAAAAACAAGTCCACCAATTTTACCCAAAATTCAAAGCACATGAGTTCCAAAAGTATTTTGTGGTGGATTCATGTAACATAAGATGTTTCCTATGGAAACCATTTTCCTTGAGGATTCTTTTAAAAATGCATTTATTTGTTAGGCACCTACTATATACCAGACACTGTTCACAGAGGTGGTTCTAGAATCACCATTACAGCACGTCAGCAACAGATGTGACACCAGATACCTTCTAGTCCAGTGCTTCAGAATGGGGCTGCCTGTTGGAAAGATCTGGATACATCTGCCACCACCCAGGCCACCTCCAGAACAACTGAGTCAGAATCCATGCATGCAAAGTATCCCTCAATGTAATGGTCTCCCTGCTAGAGAAAGCCCACCTCAAAATGCATTGCTAGGAATTGTCAAATTAAATTCCTAACTTTTAAAAGATTATGTCTAGCTGGGCACTGGTGGCTCATGCTTGTTATTCTAGCTACTCAAGAGACTGAGATCTGAGGATCATGGTTCAAAGCCAGCCCAGGCAGGAAAGTCCGTGAAACTCTTATCTCCAATAAACCATTAGAAAACTGGAAGTGGTGCTGTGGCTCAAGTGGTAGAGAGCTTGCCTTGAGCTGAAGAGCTGATGGACAGTGCTCAGGCCCAGAGTTCAAGCCCCATGACCAACAAAAAAATAAGACTATATCTACTTTACCATTAACATTGCCTCCAGTTTTTGGAGTTGTTTCACTCAATAAACAACTTCAGAGGAGACTGATACAGAAGAAGACACAGTTATTTAAGAAAGTCAGCAAATAGTCACCGATACAAACACAAGTAGAGTCAATTACCTCCCACGACAGAGTTGAGAATTCAGAAGAGTCCAACGTTTTCCTGCATATGGATGGAGAGAACATAACCATTCTCCAAGGACAAGGACATGTCAAAGGCAGCACAACCGAGAGAAAGCAGCATTGCATTCAAGACTGGGTTCAAATTTAGTACTTTGAATCGGGAGCAACCTTCTTTGTCTGCCTAAACTCTAGCTCTGCATCTGCACCCAAAGGGGAAGGTAGATGATCATTCCTCCTGTGCTGACCATGAACTCAGACGAGAGAGGGGACTGCTTCTAGCATAGTTGATGAGGTCAATCATAAATAACAAATCTCTTCCCTCCCTTCCTTCCTCTGCACATGACTAAGACATTAATTCAATAAACGACACAAGCTACTAAATTGACCAATGTTTTATAGCTAGAGGCCTTCTGTACATTTCATTTCATGGATGAACAATCTCCTTCTCCTCTAGCAATCTTCCTCCTGTCTTCCTGCCAGAATTTTAGGGAGGAACTGGGTATTTTCTTTTGCTCTTCACTAAGAATGTTCAGCAAAACTTCCTTTACCTGTCACCCCCCAAGAATGGAGGGGGGAGGGTGGGGAGGGACTGTGTTTATGTGCTTTGTATGCAAACCCTATTTCACACACCCTAGTCCTTCTCAGCAGGTGGAGGTGACAAGAATGTGGGACCATCCACAAACACACTGAAATGTCACCCACATGGATGACTCCAACGCAGAAGCAGGTGTCATTATGGATCTCAAGCCTCTTCTGTTCTACCAACCGAGATTTTCCATCAAGATGGTTTCTAAAGGGTTGTTATTTCTTAATGGGCCAACCCAGATCAGTCTTGAGATTTGGTCCCAAGAAAAGCTCACCTCCCTCTTCTCTGACATGTTTTTTTTTTCCAGCCACTCAGACACTGCTAAGAACCTTCCAGAATGACAATGTCTTCTTCATTTGGTGTCTAGGAAAATTTGACTACTTCAAATTTGATTTCAACAAATGTTGCAAAAAGCACTTACTATGTTCAAAGTCCAATGCTCAGAAACCCAGAGAACAAACTAGAATGATGAAAGCAGTGTTGACCCACTGCGGGGGAAGGGGGAAGAGGGGGGAGGGGGGAGACTGGCAGAATTTAAATAATTCTCCAGCAGGAGCCACAGTGGGAGATACATAAGAAATTCTACTATATTCTCATAAATTTAATATAATTCAATTGAACCGTTCAGAATTCCCTACTGGGGTTGGTTTACACGGTATTTTCTGCAAAGTTTAAAGTAATATTCCCCAATGTTAATAAGAGAGATATTGAGTGTGGGGGTGTCTTACCAGAAACATTTTCTAAAATGTGTGTGGAATACCAAAATAACCACAGGATGCTAGGTCCTATACCAAATAGAAGTGATAGCTCTCCCGCTCTCCCTCTCTCTCTCTCTCTCTCTCTCTCACACACACACACACACACACACACACACACACACACAAATTGAGGACCTAGCAAAGTTGGGTACAACTAATGTCTTTTTTTGGTTGGACATGGGGCTTGAACTTAGGGCTGGGTGCTGTTTCTAAGCTCTTTTGCTCAAGGCTTGCGCTCTACCACTTTGAACCACAGCTCCACCTCCAATTTTTTGGTAGTTAATTGGAAACAAGAGGCTCATGGCCTTTCCTGCCCTGGCTGGTGTTGAACAGCAATCCTCAGATCTCAGTCTCCTGAGTTGCTAGGATTATAGGCATGAGCCACCAGTGTCTCGCTTGTCTATTCTTTTTTCTTTTGTAATTGCAAGATATGGGCATGGCCTGTAAACTCACTAAGAAGTACAACTGACAGCATTTCTCAGATCTTTTCTTCATGCATTTTTTCAAGAACTTGGATACTGTAGGATTTCACTTTGAGAAATATTAACCTGAAAGATGACTGCAATGTAGTGTGTGTCCAAAGTTCTGACAAATGAGCCCTTTGCATGGAAAAAGAGCTGGTCACCTGGCAAACAGACCAGAGGACTTTCTCAAAGGAGGTGATTCTGTGTGGAGTAAAATATAACTCTTCTTCTAATAACTATGGCCAGCTGTGTGCCTATCCAAAACCAATTAGAAAAATAATTGCATTTAGTTCATGATTGCATGAACTGTATCAAAATATAGTTCTCAAGGCCAGTTTTTCCCTTCTGTGGTACATTAGCAAAAAACAACTGGAAATCTGAATCTATCTTGGACAAACCCCTGGCAAATTTAGGCAAAATGACAAATGAATGAAGTCAAGTGAGGATGGAAAGGATTACTCTACCAAACAGCATCTTTAAAATAATTAGACTCATTGACATTGGCCCTTTAGAGAAAGCATAAGCAAACCAGAAGCTTCAAATCTGCTGTGTCATGAATGGTAAGCATCATTAGTGTGAAAATTTTTCCTATGAAAATATCCTTGTAGAAAAAAAAATACTGGCCATTATCCTCATCAAGTTTTAAAAACAAAAACAAAATTTTTCACTCAAACAAAATAAGCCAAAAGCCTACGCCCAAGTTTAGAAGATTTTGTGCAAAAATGCTTCACTCCCTGATCTGTTCCAGTCTGTACCTAGCTATTGAGCTCCTTATAATAAAACTGTACTTTTTAATGTATGTGTGCCTTTCCTGGGGTTTGAACTCAGGACTTGGGTACAGTCCCTGAGCTTCTTTTGCTCAAGGCTAGCACTTTACCACTCGAACCACAGCTCCATGTCTGGCCTTTTGGTGGTTCATTCGAGATAAGATTCTCAAGGACCTAGTATATGTATGAGTCAAGCGGAAAAGGTCAGATAATGTGATGCCAGGAAAATGAACCGTTAGATGTGTATTTTAATGTTTTTGTCTTTCATGCATGTGTTTCTAATGCATTTGTAAGATTATATCTTTGTTGCTTTGTATGTCCCTCCCCCACAGTACAAACCCTGCTTTCACTATATTTGATGTCAGTATAACTTGTGGAGGAGATGGGGAAAAACCAGTTGTTTAAGGATACAGGTGGACCTGTTGCAACAATGAGAATGTCATGTCCAAAACGAGCTTTACAACGTCGTTGGGGGGGGGGAGGGGGAGGGGGAAAGGGAAAGGGGGGGAAGGAGAAGGATTGGGATTGGGGGGAGGGGGGAGGCTGGGAAGGGATGTGAAGGGTAAACAAAGGAGGAGGCTTCAATGCTTGGTAAGAAATGTACGCATTATCCTGCCCATGCAATTGTAACTCCTCTGTACAGCATGTTCACAAATAAAATAAAATTAAAAAAAAAAAAGATTCTCAAGGACTTTCCTGACCAGGCTGGCTTGGAACCGTGATCCTCAGATCTCAGCCTCCTGAGGGGCTGGGATTACAGGCATAAGCCACCAGCACCAGTCTGAAAATTGTACTTTTTGAAAGGTCCACAAAGATACTCTTGGGACTCTGGAGGGAGATAAATGCCTTGGATCATTCTAGTAGGACAACTTCAGGAGCGGGCCACAGATGTGGGGTCTTTGTCAGGATTTGACAAGGGAAGGGGTTAGTGTTTGAGACCCCGCATGGAACCCCGTCCACCCCGACCAAACCCCGGCTGTACAGCCACGCACTGCATTGAGCCTCATCGCTCCAGTCGTCACAGTCATTGTAGCCATTGCATTGCAGTTTTCTGGGGACACAGACGCCACTGGGGCACAGGAAGCTCTCGCCCCCTCCGCAGAGCACTGAGGAGAGAGAAAAAAACAGTAGGGAAGTCAAGATACGCGTTACAACAAGGGATGGGCTTTCCTTTTAATTAGAACAGAGGAAGAAAAGGGAAAAGAACAACAAAAAGCACTGGGAAGCCTTCCCTTGTCCCTTGACAGGAATTCTCCCTCATTTTCTTCTATTTCATTGCTCCTATTTTTTTCTCTAGCGCTTGAGATCACTATCTGTGGACTCCTTGAGCATAGTAAGCGCTGCCTGAGAAAGGTAGAAGGAAATTGCACAGCCAGCTTACGCAACAAGGCAGAGATATTCAGCTCACAATTGCATAATCTATGGGGGGCGGTGGGGGAAATATAACCAATGGGCTTAGTTTTTTTTACCAATTGAAAATCGTGTTAAAATGGTTAATTGACTAAGCCTAAAAGTGACTATAAATTGAATAAATAAACATTAAGAAAAACTTCTCCTCAAATATTACTTTATGTGGTGGAGAAAGTTACAGCAAAAATGAAGTGAGTCAATTTGCATGTGTTAGAACAAAACCAGAGAGACCGCACGGCCTGTATTTGAAATAAACTTATTTCCCTTAATAAAAGAAAATGCCAGTTAAAATGTCAGAATCTGTTTGGGCATAAGGAATGCAAAATGATGTTAGCTAATAATATTTTCCTTCTCTGTCTCTCTTCTCTGTCTCTGTCTCTCTCTCTCACACACACATTCACAGACACACAGAAAGTTACATTTTGGTGATATTTCTTACTTTTAGTCTTTTGGTGGTCTGATTTTTTTTTTAATGCTTCTCCCCATTGCTCAAGGTGTATTGAATTGCTTTCAAATTACAGTAAGTGATAAATTTAGGATAAAAAGTTAGAAACATTTTTAAGCAAGACCGCTAATAAATTAGTTCAACAAAGCAGGTATGAAATTAGACATATATTTGATCAGATGTATCAAAAGTGATTCTTTAACATTTTTATGTTTGTGTGCCTTAGGCTGTCCTAAAACTTATGGCCCTACTATCTCAGCCTCCTGGCAAATGCTTTTGAAATGTGCAGTGTTTAACTCAGTAGTCTTACTTCTTAGACTTCATACAAAGGAAATCTTTATTAATACAAGCAAGTTTTATTCTCAAGGATATTCATACCATGATTGTTTATAAAAAGGAAACTGGAATCACTATTGAGAATGGTTATATAAATTTAGTACCTCTATAATAAGGACTATTGTCATAGTCACTAAATAAGTATATTGCAGAAAATACTCAATGTCCTGGGACAATATTCAGGATTATTAAAGTGGAAAAGCACCAAATGGTTCTAAAGAATGCACAATTAGTCATGGGAAGAAGTATACCAAAGCCTACTGTAATTATTCCTGGTAATAAGATTAGAAGCAGTGTTTATTTTCTTGACCTTATTTTACTCTGTATTCTACAATGTTCTTCTAATGATTATGTATTACATTTTTAGTCAAAAGAAAAACCCTACCATTTTTCATGAGCTCTAGTTTCAGAATAACCATAGATAAATAGAACCTCCAAAAACCTCTCTCTTTACCCCTCCCCCTCTCTTTCTGTCTTTCCCTCCCTCCCTTCCTCCTTTCCTCCCTCTGACAAAATTACGCCTTCATCATCAGCCATGGGTCCACTGGCCGGTCATGGCCACCATTCCCTGTATGGCGTAGACCTTGATCAGATGAACCTTGTGAACTAAATATTAGGAACCCGGGAAGTATGAAACATTTTAGCTCTGAATTAGAAATACAGAAAAATACACACTGAAAGCTGTAGTTGGTGAGGCCCCAGGCTGTTCATTTCGGCCCAAGTTTCTAGGACTTAGCTGAAAATTATTGGAACTCAGATTATAAATTAATATTTGATAAGAAAATCCACCTAAATCTCCAATAGAGTAATATTTCCACAAAGCATGTGTGAGATAGAGGGAGAGGAGAAAGAAGGGAAAGGAACAAAAAAGAAGAGAGGAGGGGAGAGGGAAAGGGAAGAGAAGGAAGAGGGGAGGGAAGAGAAGAGAAGAAAAATTAAGGAATTATTTTACAAGTTATCAAGGAGATGAGTGTTACTACTTACTGAATATTAGGGACTGATTGATTTGGTAACTTGACAGTATCACCATAAACATTTATTTTCATTATATCTCATGACTTCAGAATCAATATGTTAGACCAATAGCTTTCAACTACCAAAATATTCAACATATGTAATGTGTGCTGTGTTGGAGAATTCCGCACAAGATTATATTCCTATAGATACAAATATAGAGTCTTTAAAGCTGTAAGGAAAACAAATGTAAATAAAAAGCCAAATCACTAAGATTTTTCCAGACAGTCCATACACTATTTCTCTACTTACTATCAAGAGAAAATTTTCAGGGAATATTTATCCTATGGTTGTATTGTTTCTATATCATACGGGAGAATGCAAAATTCTATATCTCTATTTCAACAGCTACTGTGGTTCAAGAATGATTGCATTCCCTACCTGGGGCTCTGAAGTGTCCTCATGAAGTAGAGCTAAAAGTTCAACACTAGATAGTTCCTAACATCTAGATGCATCTTTAAGAGCATATATGTATAGGTATACATATGCATGTATAGTATATCATATATGTATAGATACACATGTATACCATATGTAACTTGAGTAAGAATTTTTTGTATATGGCCTTTGTAAATCTTCATCAAATTTAAAACGCATTCCTTGCTATGTCATGGCTATTGACACTTCCTGTCTTGTTTGATTTAGCAGAAAGTGTCTTTTGTGAGGTTCTATATTTGGTGGTAGGGCTGTCCTTGGTTTTATGAAACAAAAATTGCTTTTAAAAAATTCCTATTCTGTCTTTGAAACTTTGTGGTTTTATTAACTGACATTACTTTTGTAAATAGAATCGTTATACATACTCTGTTCCCTTACTATGACCCTCTATCCAGAATTTCCCATTTAGTTGCATAAAATGTTTCAATTAACCAAGAGCTGCAGGGATGGCCAGAAGCCACATAGCTGAGCTCCAGCCTTACCCTTCACAGCCCACCTTGAATCCAGCTCAAGGACACCAGGTTTGCCTTCATTTCTCTCTACACAAAAGGCCTATGGTTGTCCTGCAGGTGAATTGGATCCAGATGAGATGACATTCTTGGTCAGTTTAGGTCCAGGGGAAACACATCTTAAGAGAGGGCTTGACAGATTGCTTCAGAATTTTTGTTTGTTTGTTTTAAGCACAGGTTTCATTGTCTTCGGACACAGTAAATGAGTCCTTAGATACTAACTAAGGGGTGAGGAAGTCCTCTGGGAAGAAGTTGTGTTTCACAATACCAACATCATTTCCCAGTCCTCTGTAATTCTAAGAAGAATCTGTTGAATTTTACAGAGTGATCACTGGAAGCATCATCCCTTAACTGAAAAATACTGTCTACTATGTAATAGGTACTATCCTATCCCTGGATACAGAGAGTGCAGGAAACAGAAGGAAAATTCCCTACCTTAAACATAGTCATCTGCTGAAGAATTCTTTACCAAATAAAGATGCTTCATGGCCAAACCTGACTTCCACTTACTCATAGGACAACTAATTAATATTACAAGAATGGTTGTACTCAGATTTTCTATGGCACCAGGTGATGTGACCAGATGAGGAGGACAATTACAAATCACCTGGCCTTCAGACTGTCATGGAGTCCTATGAGCACACACACCCAGGTGGGTTACCAGCACTTTTCAGTATCTTTGTCTCCAATAGCAATGCATAGCCTGCAATTCATTACCTTGAGATTTACTGCATTTGCTTCCACGGTGACCCTTGGTTCTCCCTGTGTGTATGGAGGCATTTATACTCATCACCCTGGATATTAACATATGGAGTCATTTCTCAGACTCCAACCAGCCATTGACGGTATGGTATTCTCATTTGCCCTGTCTTTCTTTGAGCCTTGTTTAGAGCCAGAAGCTAAGCATCACCTCCATTCTGAAGAACAAGTTGACTTGGCAAAGTACACCTTCACTTGGGCCTATACTAAGAAAGAGCTTGTTAGTGTTTGTGGATATAGGTCTGTGAGTTCATTTCTGGGTCATCTATCCATTGGTCCTTAGGCCTATTCTTGTGCCAATACCAAGCTGTTTTTTTTTTTTTTTTTATTACTACAGCCTTGTCATAGAGTTTGAAGTTTGGTGTTGATATTCCTTCAGCGCTGTTCTTCCTGCCAAGCATTGTTTCTGTTATTTGGGGTCCTCCACTATTTCATATGACGTTTTGGATTTCTTCCTCTATATCATTGAATAATGTTGCTGGGATTTTCATGGGTATTGTACCGAATTTGTTCATAGCTTTGGGCAGTATTACCATTTTCGCGATGTTAATGCTCCCAATGGAGGAGTATGGAAGGCTTTACCATTTTCTTAAATCTGCTTTAATCCCCTTTTTCAGGTTTTTAAAGTTTTCATCATAGAGGCCCTTCACATCTTTGGCTAAGCAAATTCCCAGGTATATTTTTTAGGCTATTACAAATGGAGTTGCTTTCCCAAAATCACAGGATGGAAGAAAGACAGCCACTTCAACTGGCTGGCACTGGCAGAACTGGCTATCCGTGTGCAGAAAACTGAAGCTAGATACTTATTTATAACCCTGCAAAAGAATCAACCCCAACTGGATCAAAGACCTGAGCTTAAGACCAGATACCCTGAAAATATTACAGGAAGGGACAGTGGAAACAGTTGGGCTGCTTGGTATGGGCTGAAACTTCTGAAGTAAAGATCCAGAATCACTTTTCAATGGGAAGCAGTTAGCCCCAGGACATTGCATTGTACCCAAATCTAATGTAATCCCCTCCAGGCAGTGAGATTCACAGTCTCTAACCTAATATAAGGGCCTCTTAAAGCTTACAAAGGGGTTCCTTTAATTGACAAGAAAAGTTCATTGGAGTTAGATACCTGGGTTGCTTTTACTCTTAATCCCAATTAGAAACTTCAAAATAAAAGAAACTACATTACAAAGAAACCATACGCTCA